GCTCTTGCTTTCAGAAGACTTTAAAAGAATACGTCTCAGACCCTGAACTATTTCTGTTGTAGCACATGTTAGGCCAGATTGTGATCTCAGTCATAGTAGAGTAGCATGATAATACAAACTGCTATGCCAAAGTAAACATTCTACTGCTTTCAGCTGAGCTATTTCGGACTCAAATAAATGCAAGAACAGAACTCAGACTAAGTATATTAAATTAATGACGTGTGGCATGGTCAGAATGCAGTAATCTATGCAAAAACACTTTTAGAAACTGTCAGGGCTTACTAGGCACCCAGCTTTGAAAAAAAAAAAAAGATTAATTATTTCCATGTCTCTTTTCAGAGTATAGGTCAATAGAGAAAAAGGAATAAAGTGTTACAAAATTCCTGAAACATGAAAGTCCATAATTACTATGCATTATGTACAAAAGCATTGTTTGGTATACTTCATATCATGGATTATCACAACTGGCATTTACAAGTGTTTTTTTAAACTATAAGAATCCATCTATCCACAGCTGAAGTATTCTTGAAGATTAAGTTTAATGTGTCATGAATCATCACGGTTTAATATGCATGACACAGTTTCATTTCACACATGTTCTGCATGGGTTGATTGTCGTGTATACCAATATCAAGCAGATGTAAATTCTTTGATTTATGTGCTCCCAAAGTATGTTTTAATTACTAGGAGGCTTCATGCAGAAAAAGAGGAAGGTATTTTGAAGTAGATTTAATGAAAAATCTAAAAGAAAAATCCATTTTATTTTTTTTTTATATCATGTTCTTAACCATATAAATTTTAATATTAAAAAGAATACTTGATATGCAAAAGGAACTGCAGACTGCACCGATTAAATGGTACATTTCTTGTTGTAAACAAGAAAATAAACTTTTATTATTTTTCTAATAAAATACCTACCAACTGAATATGAGCTTGGTGATATGAAATGTTTCTGCAAGTCATGGTATGTGTGTACAATGCCTAAATTCTTAAATTTGGGTATTTTCCAAAGAAATCAAAATTCCGTGTAAAACATCACTATATAAATTCTCACATCAACCATGCTATAAGTCCCATTTTATGTATGATCTAAATTAAAAAGTCTTGAAATGTAAAATATTTCACAAGCCTCCACTGTACAGAGGCCAGAAATGAACATGAAAAGATATCCTGGGTTAAAAATAATGTGTAATGAGGAAGCTGTTTCCAGCCAGCACCAGCTCCCACTTTCTGCTCTGTCAGGTGCAAGCTGTGATTCTCCAGGACCAGAAGAGCAGCAGAGCCACAGGTTAGGATGGAATAATGTTGGATAAAAACTGTGAGCTTTAACTAATTGCTAATTTGGTCAAACAGAATTGTTACTGTAATTTCCATGGAAGTCAGAGTACATCTCTAGCTTTGGGCCCTATCTTACTGAAATCAACAGGAATAGGAATGGCTCCCAAGGATTTTGCACTAGAATTAGTTTTAGCAAGCTGAAATAGTCTCCACTTGAAAATAATTATCAAAACTGTTACAAATAATAATAACAGTAACAATGTTATATTTGATACATACATATTAATGTTAGATAGCATAAACAGCAGATACACAGTAATAGTAGAAAAAATATTATCAAAACTAGGATGTTCAGCCCTTCCCCATGCGAGAGATCTTTTTGCACAGTAATGTTTTCAACACCATACAAATTATTTAAATTTCTTGCCTACATATTGACATAAGCTGGCATAGAGTTTTCAAATAAAAATGTGAACTGACATTTTGAAAAATAACAGACAGTCATGGCACTAGAGTGCAGTGACCTCTGTCCTCCAATATTCTCTTTTTTCTTTATTTCTTTTTCCAAATGCCTATATAAGTGCAAGATGCCCAGAAACAAAATGTATATTACCAATGAAACCTACTTCCAAGGCAGTTAATATACATTTCCAATGAATTTACTGGACCAATAAATGAATCTACATCGTAGAATTCAGATACACCACACAAAACACTTGTGCAGATTTTTAAAAACATACACTCATCGCATTGCAGGAAATCAAACCTGCATTACTTGTTCAACCAAAATTCCCTGGCTGGAATAACAGCTTTAGATGTTATTTTTGTTCTCATTCTGTTTTACTTTGTTAAATCACCAGATTTTTTTTTCTTTTTACTTAAGATAAATGTGTGAAAGTGCCTCCTTTCCATTCATAGATGTTATCTTCCTCAAACTTCAAATGATTCATCTGGGTGAATGTAGTTATAAATAATTTATCAAGATACATAACCAGTTGTTAGGGAAAAAAAAACCCCGAAGGAAGAATATCATTGCATAAAATCTGAACATTAAAATTGATTTTTTAAAAAATCAATCTTTAATTGGTTTTATTACCTCCTAATCCAGGTCTGAGGCGATTATCATAACCATCCAGAAGTCTGTCTAGAATTCTTGTGAAGATGGTGATGTTATTCTTAGCTTCATCTTCCAGGGAGTCAGCCAGCACTGGTCTAAATGGACATTTTACATTTTAGAAAATGCTAAGTATGCTTTAACATACACTCAACATGCAGTTTTTTCAAGCTGGCCTTTAACTTGCTGCATTCTAATAGGAAGGGTGTAGTTAATAATATATGAATACACAATTTATATGTATATATACAACAAGTTCAGAAACATAAGAGTCAACGACATACTATTTAAAATTTCAAGGAAGTAATTTTCCAGTAGCCTCTACTTCTAGTAGTCATTGCATCACTGTGAATGCTACTTGTGTAGGTGAAAAAGCCTAACAGAGCTTCCGAGGCCTTGGTGGCGCATCACTCAAGAACCGTCTCCTTTCAGCTCTGTCTTATCTGTCCTCACTTAAATACGCTCTATCTCTGGATAAATCCTGTGGATATGCTTCCACCCAATGGTCATGTAATGTACATGACCAGAAGAACTAACATGAGGGAAAACTCCAGTGATCATGCTCAGGGAGTCCTCTGACGCCAGCGGTTGGTGGGTGGAAACAACAATGCTGACTAGCAAGCTGCAGGATAGCTGTGGATAGCCTTCATATTTCTAAAATGCTATTTTGTCATAAAAAGCATTATCTGATATTTCACTAGATGCAGACAAACCTTATAAAAGTTGGATAGAGAAAGAAATAATAAATGACGAATAAAGAAGAATCTATAGATCACCGATTGTTTCAAACTTCCTCGATAAAGAAAGAGACATTACAGCCTTTATGGGTCACATCTCTGTGGAACACACTAGGGGCTGGAACATGAACCTGCTGCCCAGGCAGCTGTGGTGCTTAACAGTCCTCCCGGACCTGGGCACCCAGACTAAAGGGGTTTTGTGCCAAGGAAACACTCACAGGCAGAAAGCCTCACACATGCAAATATTACTGTGCCAACAATTTTAAGCACCATGCATGTTAAACGCATGAGCTCATTATTCTTACCTACTTAATACCAGCATATTGATATCCAGGGAGTAAAGCATCATATGCTACACGCAGTACCATTTATACCTTTTCCAGCCACCTAAATTTTTAACCCGAAATATTTGAGTATTTATCATCTCTGAATGAACTACTGATCAAGGCATTCTGAATGCCATAAAAGCAAGCATATTTTCTTCCTCCTCAAAACCAAAAGTAGGTTTGGGTGATGTTTTCTACAAAGCAAGCTAGAAAATGTCTAAAGACAGGGCTTTATGTTGGTCTCCAGTTCAACAGCATAGAGCAAGTATTTAAATGTAAATCATTGCAGTCTGTGCTTTCCATCACATAAAACACACAAACGACCCAAATCAGATAACTTAGAAAGAACACGTCAAAATATCATGTGCGATTTTACTGATATGTCAGTTTTTTCTTAATTTTAATTACTGGGTGGCTCATTTTTTGTTTGTGAAATGTATTTCTGTACCATAAGTCTCTGCCATTTTTAAGCCTCTTTTGAGATACAACAGTTTTTCGAACTCAAGATTCCACTAAGAAATTAGATCTTAAAATTATATCAAATTAGGGTCGAATCCTGCAAACTTTACTCAGGCATAAACTCCTTAATTACGCATGTAGTCTCTTTGACGTCAGTAAGATTACTCACTTGAGTAGGGTTTGCAGGATCTGGCCCACTGTGACTCAACTAATACTGCACCACAGTTAGGTATAAAGTGAAATAGAAAACATAGTTTCAGGAAATATTTTGTTCACTGGGAAACAAACAAAAATAATTGGAGGCTTTTTAAATCATATGAAACTGGCATTATTTGGCATACAACGCTCACCATATTAGGACAAGAACTACTGCAGCCAAAGAAGCAAAGCAAGTAAACTGAAGTTGCAAACTACAATTAATTGCAAGTTGAGGGACTGCAAGCAACACAAAAGTATTACGTGATTAAAATTCCTTCCTCTTATGCTTTCGCTTTAGAAATGGAGAACTTTAACATAAGAAAAGTTGATTAATAAATTATGTTATTGTTTTATTATATGTGATTGTGAAGTTGTATGCTATCTCCACCTAGAGGTTTAAAGCTTTAATATCATTTTGAATTGTGTTATGTTTGACTAAAAAAAAAAAAAAAAAAAAAAAGACATGCCCATATTACAAAATATTTAAGCATTATTTTAGAGACCGTGATTTGCCGTGTGACTTCATGATAATCTATTTCTCCATCTTGACTATTCTGTATGGTACAGAATAGCACTGATACAGTAACTCCAACAAATCTTTAAGATCCAATAAGGCATTTAAAGAGATTGCTGTTTTAATGGTGAAATAAAGCATCAATTCACAAACTGTATAAAGACAAGAGACTAGGGTTTTATGGAACTACATTCTACTGCATTTGCTCAGGAAACTATGTAATACTGCATTCAAACAGCTAAGAAAGATTTTTTTCATTACATTACTACATACTATACTTTTATAAGCTCTCACAAGATCTTATTCTTAACAGATCAGGACATACATGTTTGCACTGAACAACAAAACTAAATATCCTCTCACCTTGTTGGTAGCCACACCAATAAAACGAGAAGAACCAACTGCATCTCGGAGAGTGTCAGCTTCCTCTTCATCGCCGCTCTTAGCAAAACCTAACGGTGCAAGAAAAACACAAACCCACTCTCAACGACAGTCTCCGCCAAGCAGTGCTTTCAACTTAACTCGAGGAGGAATATGTCACTTCACTGGAGAAACCACCGAAATTCCGCAGCACTTTTCACTACTAGCAACTTATTGTATCTCCATCTTTCCCAACGATCCTGCTCTGTGCAAAGAGGCAACGTATGATCAGAAGTGGCATGTGAGCCGGCGCATCAGATGCTTTCCTGTTCCGTGATGTGAAAGCCCCAAGACGAAGAGGAACAAAAAATAAAAACTGTATGTATGGGAGGATGGGGGTTTAACCACCCCTCGCCTCACTACGGCACACCGCAGCCGGGGGGGCGGGCGGGAGGCAGAGTCATGCCATTCGCCGGGGCTCGGTGCGGGGACCGCGGGCGAGCCGCCCCCGCCGCCGCCGAGCGCCCAGAACGTTTGACAGCTGCTCGGCGAGGCACCGCCGGCCGCCGCCGCCGCGGGCGGCAGTGGAGGGGCGCGCGGGGCGGCGGCGGGGCAGCCCCGCAGGCCGACAAGTTGCGGACAGCAGCGGAGCCCCGCTGCGGGCAGGCGCTGCCGGCGGCGGGCGGGGACCCCAGGGACCCTACCTGGGAGCTGCGGGCGGCCGGGACGGGGAGGGAGGGGGCAGAGGGAAGGAGGGCAGGCGGCGCGGCCGGGACCGAGCGCCGACCGAGCGGCGGGGGCGCGCGCGCGTGCCTGCGCGCGGCGGTGCGCGGAGGCGGCCGGGGACGGGGGCGGCGGGAGCGGGGCTGCCCCGCGGGGCGCGGCGGGGACGGCGCGGGCCGCGCCCACGGCACAGCACACCCAGCACACCCCGCACACCGCACAGCACACCAGCACAGCACACCCAGCCCACGGCACAGCACACCCAGCACACCGCACAGCACACCCAGCACACCCAGCACACCGCACAGCACACCCAGCACACCGCACAGCACACCGCACAGCACACCCAGCACACCGCACAGCACACCGCACAGCACACCCAGCACACCGCACAGCACACCCAGCCCGCGGCAGAGCCCACCGAGCCCCCGCGGCCGTGCCCACCGCCCCCGCGGCCGGCGCGGGAGGGGGCAGAGAAGATGCAAGTCACCCTGGCGAGCCGCGGCTCCGGCCCCGGGGGCTCCGGCGGCCTCGCAGCCCGCGCGGAGCGGGCGGGCGCGGCAGCGTCGCCGGTGCGCGAACGGGGAACGGGGCGGAAAGCGCTCCCCAGAATGGTACAAGACATCTTCCGTGGCCCTTCCTCCTCAGCCTTTTAATAGCCCCTTGTCAAGTGCGAGTGTGACAGGGCACAACCCCGGCAGCCGCCCGGCGCTCCCCGGTGTGCGGCGGGAGCGGGGAGCCGACAGCCCCGGCTCCCACCCCGCTCCCCGGCTGCCTCATTAACATTCCCTTCCCCACTTGCCCATTGGCACAGTCTAATTGAAATGCAGAGAGAAGAAAAGTCTGTCATTTAAAGTGAGCTCAGGATGCAGGCAGACAAGGAAACAAACCTCGCTTTTTTTCCCCCATCAGATTGCATTACTTTCTGCTGTGTTCTCTTTTAAAGTACGTTGCCCTCCTTTCGTATATGCAGTCCTCCTCTGCTAGGAACTGGACTGCTGCTAGGATTCATTCCCATTGATTTCAGGTTTTCCAGAGCAAGTGGAACAGGACAGGCTTGATAATTAAAGATAAGAGCTTATATTTAGTGTATCCTCATTTTGCATTGTTAACTCAGAAATAATTAAATAATACTGGCAGTAATGTTGCAGCTTTTTTTTTTCTTTTTAAACCATTCCCTGTCTATCTCCTGTTCTTTCATTCTCTAAACTGCCTAAAGCACCCATCTCAGTTATCCTCTCTTTATGTCACTGGCCTACCTACTTCTTGCATTTTAACTGAAGTTGTTTTGATGACATTTGCTTCTGAATCAATACCAGTTCCAAAATGAACGTTTGAAATTGGATGCACAGACATTGAGGGGGAGATAGGAAAACAAGCAATAAAAATTTCTTCAGTTACCTATAGAATAAACTACCAAAAATTGGAGGATTCTTTTTCCTACTCCTCTCTCTGCTGTTTTGTATTTGTTTTCTGCTTCCCAATTACTGCAGCTTGCAACTGGAGGTGTCCTTGTTTTCCTTCTCCTTTAGTGGCTTAATGACTCTACAACAGAGCATGAGAAACAAAAGAAGGAAGAAAAGCTCTTGGGCTGTCAAGACAATTTGTTACTTCCAACTTGGAGGTATTTCATAACTTGCAGACTGGGGAAAGAGAAAGAATGAGCTGAATGGCTTTATTTTAAAATAACCAGTAAAATGACAGCCTAAACTGTGGGACATGACAAAGATGAAGACACAAGTGCAGAAACTGAAATCTGAAGAACATTTATTCAGCAGCTAACTAACCTTGGGTGTGTTTAAGGTACAAGGCCCTTCTCTTTACCAGTCCAGATGTGAAAATGTACTCTGTTCATTGTCAGTTAAGCATCTATGGTCAATCTAAAGTCTTCTTTGAATCTTCCTGTAAGTTCCATGCATTAGGAATTAACAACTGATACTTAATGCAGAATCAAGCCTCATAGTAAACAAAACTAGTTTTAATTACTTGTCCTAAGTAAGGGTGGCTTCACAAATATCAAAATACAGGGGGAAAAAAAAGCCCACTAAAAATGAAGAGTCTTCATGATTTACTCTTATGTGAAATATACTATTTAATCAAAGCAGAATATTTTTTTCCATGGGTATTTACTGCATTCCTTTCCAAAAACACACTTCCAGTAACTATAATACTGAAGCTATAATCTAATTTTCATATGTGAGTTGCATCAAAAAATAGAAAAACACTTTCATTAAGGAAAGCAGTTACAGTGGCTCCATGTTGCTGTGATAGCATATTGTCATTCTTCAAAGGCCACATGGGCTAGGTATGTATTTATAATGAGCTTGTGTTCACAGCCTTCCCCAAGAAAAACATACTGGATTTTAGGATCTAATCACAATTATTACCTGTGATATTCTTTGAGATTTGCCATAGCTTCATGCACTGAAGTCTTGCTTCAGATTTGAAACTTGAAAATAACTTCTCATTCCTGTTTTAGGCAAGTTGGACAGCCCTATGGGGCATCCCAAATCACAGGGAAGCTGAGTAGAGAGAAAGACTACTGTGACAGTGTGAGAAATAAGAGGTAATCTAATTACTAACAGAGAGAAGGTTTTTTTATGCTAGTCCTATGTGCTTATAACCTGTGCTGCTGAAGAACTAGAAAGCATTTAGGAAGAAAAGTGTAGTATCAGTGGGGTTTTATTGGTTTTTTGGGTTTCATGCAAGCACAGCTCACAAATACTAGATGTGTTAGCTCTCGTCAGTTAGAAACAGTGCGCTTGGGTCCCCTCAGGTGCACAGTCAGCAGGCAACCTTCTCTTCCCTTCTGCATTAATATTTGTGGTGTGGTATTGAATGCTGTCATTCACTATTGAATTTCAATTAGCCCTAAGTGATATGTAGCATACAACACTTCACTTCGGTTTGTGAGAAGCACCTCAGTCCTGATGCAAGTGCCCTGGAAGGTGGGGAATCATGCCCTTGTTTTGAAATAGTCCATTGGAAGGCAGTATATTTGCTGAAATATAGAAATACATTTCAATTCCTATTTTGATATTTTAAAAAAAAATCTTAAAAACAAAGGATTTTACAATCCTATTATTCCTCCTTGCTAAGGATCTCAAAACTCTGCACAGGCTGATAAATGATGTCTCACAATTCTATTGTGAGATTGGAAAGACTTCCTCTGTGAGCACAAGTTGAATAGCGGGATAGGTATGTGACATTTCATAAGCACTTCTTACAGTTTAGAGGTAATAGAAACACAAGACAGGTTAAGCCCAGGCTAGTCATTATCCAGACTGCAGAACACTAGATTGAATGCTTCCTTTGAAATAGTGCTTAAAGGAATCCTTTATAAGACAAAGTTATACCATCCTTCAGGCAAAATAAATTACTCAAAAACAATACCTTCAATTTGTAGCCACTAGGGAGGTGACAGTAATCATTTTCTGTCACGGACATAATCAAGTAATGCAAAACAGAACTTAACACACAATGCTGATCTGGGGTACATTCTGCAGTATAACAGTTACAGACAAAAATTTTGGCAGATTGAGGTAATCATCATTTACTTCATACTGCTTGAGAATAATCCCCACCCTTATATCTAGGCCAGCAGCATTCTGAGCTATAAGGATATAAACAAAAGTCATTGGAGTTCCATGAAGTGGTGCATATGTGTGAAAGTCATAGAATCACAGGATACTCTGAGTTGGAATGGACCCACAAGGATCACATTGTATGTGATATAACAGTGGATTTTTTAGTAAAAATTATTCTTTTTATATTTTTTATCTCTAAAAAAGCATGAAAAAACACCTCAATATTATAATATTTTTGATAGGCTGTTGTATTTATCCTTTTAAAATTTCTAATTATATTAATTTGTTAAACATCCATGCATAAATGCAAGTGTTTGAGATATGTATCCAAGATATAATTTCTGTGTATATTGTTTAATTTTATTTATTTAAATAGCAACAAAGTAAAACATTGAAGGGGGAAATTAGAATTTGACCAAGTCAGTCCCTAGACTGATTCATCATGCAGGTACATGAATGCTAATCTGAGCAAAAAGAAGAGAAAAGCTGTCTCTTTTCAGGAGCAGCTACACCTTATGTCCCAAAGAATGATGATGGAAATCAGATTTTTGTAAGAAAAGAAGACTCAGGTCTCCAAAACTCTTCCAGTCACTGACTTTATGCAAGATTGCACCCCAAATTCCTCAGAGAGGTGAAACTATTTTGAAATGTGCCATTCGACAGCAGATGCTAGTATAATAAACAAGAATGCAAGAAAAATCTTACAGCTTTATGCAGTTCTCCCTGTTGTAAGTGCCTGAGCAACTTTCAATCTTTAGAGTTTTCTGTCTGACTGTGACACTTATGGATTGGGAAGAGCCGCTGTGCTTGTCCAAAAGCTCCAGCTATCATACAGACCCTCTGATTGAAGAACAAAAGCAAAGGGCTAGTGCCAGCTTTATTTCAACTGTGTGCAATCAGCTTGAAGTTACTTTCTGATGTGCACTGGGAAGCTCAGCAGAACAGGACATTGAAATGGGCTTTCCCACCTTAAATATTGATGAATGTTTTTTCTTTCCCAGGATTATACTTCTGCCAAATTTGAACCTTAAATATCACATGAGGATTTTTAGTTTTCTCCAAATGCACTGAGAACTAAAGAAAAAGTGAGAAGAGACTCTTTACTGTTTATTAGCAGTAGTGAGAATTACTTTATCCTTTTAGAGTAGATCTTCCTTGATGGGACAAATGTAAGGCAAGCGGCAGAGGGCAATACAACACATGCACTGGCTGGGATGGGAAAGGTCAGATGAATAGAACTGGCTAATAGTTCTTGTTCTGAGTGAGAGGAAGGGGAGATCTGCTTTGGTAAAAGCAATAGTTTCCTTCAACTGCAAATTCATGTTTTCTGTTTTCTATCTCTGAGGAGACCACATATCACAGCAGGCTAAAAGTGAATTTACAGCAGAATGAAAACTGCTTGGGTAGATAAGACAGAATGCAGAAAATGCAAATATATGTTAAATTGTTTCATAAATACAATCACATTTGTGTTACTTGTACAAATACAACATATTTTATCTTTCAACTGTTCACTTAAATATTCTTTGGACTCTGAAGACGTTTTTCATGTATAACAACACAGATCCATGATATTTCATGTTTAAGGTGTCCACTTTGAGGCAAGTAGAGCTTGTTTCTTACAGGGATAGAAATATACTTAATTTCTGAAAATCAGCATTACAACATGGAACTACATTGAGATTCATTTTGTTTGAATATATTTTGAAGTTCAAAACCAAATTCCCTTCTATTACTACAATGCGATTGATATTCAAAGAAAATTTTAAAGACATAGGACATTTACAGTCACCCCTTTTTCCAGGAATACAAAGAAAAGAGAGATACTAGACTTCTGTCATTTTGTTTTGCCCACAAAATTGCCATGTGCCAGTCTGGAAATATGAGGAATCATTTGTCAATGGTTGTCTTTTTTCCTGCAAAAGCCTCATCTCCCCTTGTCACTAGCTAATACAGGCCATCCTAAATAATGTTTGATGTGCACAATTTTATCAGTGACCAACGGATTTGCCTAAATCTCAGGGTCCCAGTCGAATTCCGAGAGGATGTACTCCTGCACATCTTTTTCCCCCACCATAATGCAGACTATAGGCAGATGATGCAATTGGACAGTGATATTTCTATAATAAAATATTTCATTAATTAGTTAAATTCTGCTTTGGGGGATTCAGCAACACGAAAGATCAGTAAAAACAAGCAGAAAGTTAAATGGAGTATAGTATGACAAACAAAGGAAGTAATGAGGGATGAACTTTTCAGAAAAACTGGTTCAAAATGTACTGTCTTTTGTGAACAAGCACAAGTCGCTTTAGAACAAAAAGCACGATACAGACCTTCAGACTGCCTGAAAAGTGCTGAAATGTGCAGGTCCAGCAGTGACAGGTTTTGAGTAGAAAAAAATCATGGGGTTTTTATTCCTACTAGGAGTGCATTTAAATTTTTTCTTAAAAAAATTGATGCTTTTCTAAATTCCTGATTAAAAAAAAAATCTGGCCTTTGGCCTGATTTCAGTGCTGCTTAAAAGAATGACCAGAATTCAGTTAGCAGTCTGTTCAATAACTGCTCCTAGTCAGGAAAGGTTTTGTTGCTGATCCAAGATTACCTCATCTTGGGTAGCAAAAAGTCTGTATTTTAAAAATGATTCTGCCTCCCAGGACTTCAAAGAGTTTCCTCCTGTCTGTGACTAATGTTAGCTAAAACACACACAAAGGTGTTCTTCTATCACTAACAACAAATAATCAGAAGACAGTTCTAACATGAAATGTCTTGCCTAGCTTCAACAAGAACAAGAAAAAAAATCGCATTGCTCCATACTTGAGTCAACTATAGCTACAAATGTAGCTACTTCTATAAAGTCTGGGTAGCAAAATTTAGAAGGAAGAGTGTTGTTCTATGTCCCATGGTTTTTAGAAAAACACATAAACCACGTAATTGCTTAGGAGTGTAGCTGCAGTCTATAGCAGTTCACACACATTTTACAAAAGCAGAGAGCTATTTATAAATATATCTGGGCTAATTAACTGCCATTATAGTGTTTTTATGCATTTAAAAGAAGTATATTTTTGGCACACTGCAGATGACATATTATTCAGGATGACAATTAAACCATAGTAAAGTCAATGGCATCAACGATGGCATAAACTGCTGGATTTTAGTGCCTGCTCCATGTATTGCTGTTTCTTAAATTGCCTCTTGCTGCACCAAGAGATAGAGAGATCAGGGAACTCCCAAGGTGGGCAGATGAGAACCACTCCAGCTCCTGAGCAGCTGGTTAGATGCGTTCTCAGCCAGCTTTGCTGGAGGAGGTTGAAGTACCCAATGATTGCTCCTGGCACACACCTAAGCTGGCAGTATGAATCCTTCCTTCATTCTTCCATGCTTTTGGGGAAGAGAGCTTTATGTGAATGAAGATCCTCCCTCTCATCTCTACTCACTTCCATATGTGCAAATGCCAAATACAGCCCTTGGCCTGAGAAAAAGCTTCAGACTTTGGTTGCTGTCAATCCAGCCGCATTTCATTGCTTTGAGAATACCCCAGGCTAAAATAAATAAATAACCAGATAAATGGATGACAGTTGGTAATAACAGTCCTGATTTGCTTTCCACTCCTTTCAAGTAATGAATCACCAGTGAAAGAGTGATGACTCACCAAGGGAATCCAAAACATGCTTTCTCTTTCATATGTGAGTCTGCAGTAGCCATCCATGCTCCAAAGGGGGAGAAAACTGGGCTGCATTTTAATATTCATTTTCACAAAGCTGAGTCAAAACTACCTGTAAGCGCAAAGGGACTTTAAAGGAAAAACAGAACTGCCCTCATATCTCACTAGTGTAGTGAGAATGTATAAATAGTTGCACATAGCAGATAGTTTGTGTCAACACAATATTACATTCCTGAGCATCTGGGTAGCAACTGCTGGACACAAGAGGGCATTTGCTAGCAAAATATTATGCTATTGTCTGCAAAGTAAGTTCTGTGT